GCTTCCGGCGCCATAGAGTCGGACTCCCGTCACTGTGCCCAGGTTCCCATGGAGGGAGCAGGTAAGCAGTGCCAGGAAGGCGGCGAGTGCGAGGGGAAGGCGCTGCTTCGGCATGAGGACGTGAACACACAGTGCACGGTCCTCTGGCCTGGTGGTGGTGTTGTGGCTCCCATGAGACACTGAAGTCTGAAGGGTCTACTGAGTCTAGGAACAGCAGTTTACTCAGGCGCAACCATGGGCGGGCATGGCCTTAATCAGTGCTGCGGGACAGTGACAATCGATGCCGCGGCGTTGAGGGCTGTTTGATTGCTCGGCGAACCCACCACCCACGGTGACGCTTCTGGCACGCCACGCCAACCGAAGCCTTTCAGCACGTCATGATGGTCATGCAGGCCTGCGGGAGGAGAAACCTGCCAGCAGCGCGTACAAGGTTGGCGCAAACCTTTTTTCCGAACCAATCCCAACTGAAGGCAGGGAGACGCTTTTCGCCGGTTTCGGTAATGGCTCCGCCCGCGGCTGGCGTGGCAGGGTGGCTGTGCCCCCCCCCCCCGCATCGAGTTCAAGGCCGCTTTCTCAAGCCTTTCTGCTCGCACTTCTTCCAACCGGGCACTTTTTTTTAAGCTCCTTTACTGTAGACAGCGAGGAATTTCTGTCGGTTTCGGTGCTGGACAATATCCTCTATTTACCCCCAAGCGCCTTTCCGTCGAACTGAAGTTGGAGGTAAGGGTGTTCGCAGCTGGGCAGAGCGAACGTGGCGAAGGGAATGTCCCGCGACCGAGCAGCAACAGAGGCCATGTACGAAGTCAGCCAGATTGACGACGAGTACACCGACATTGCGGGCACAGCGTAGGGCTGGAAGTAACTCTTCCGGAAGTAAAAAATGACTCGGGAATTACCGAGAGGAGAGCAAGAAAATTGAATCTTCTTGTTCGCCATGAAGACGCGCCAAGGCCCAGCGGCTGTGGTCCTGCTCGTGCCGCTTGTGCTTGCACTGAGTTCAGGTTTCGTGCCACTGAGCACGGGCCTTCGTATCGCCTCCTACAATATTCGGTACGAACTACCCCCCCTCTCCAATTCGCCTTCCTCTTCCGGCTTTGTTATGGCAACACTGCCGAGTGTTAAATTAATTTGTGCCCTTCGCACAGGAGCGGGTCGGGTATGGATGATGTGTATAACCTGAGCCGCACGGCTGAGGCCATCCGCCTCATGAATGTGGATATTGTTGGGCTACAGGAAGTGGACAACAACACCGATCGCCACCCCCACGATAATCAGGTGTGCGCACCCATCGCCACACACTCACCGGCTGATGGT